GGGGGATAGATCTAATTAACAACAGCGCCATCAGCTATTTTTTTTTACCATACACTGAGAACATCTATCTTCTATATATATAATTCTCTTCTTCGAGCCGTTAGAAAACAAGCTGCAAACGCTCTCCCTACCTCCCCACCCCTACATGGTTTTAGTGAGCTGTGTTCACTCTAAATGTTTACAAGCAGAGCCAACGATTTTAAACGTAGGGGGGGGGGAGGGTTATGGTCCTTAACGAGCTACTTATAGTGTTTTAAAGAAATATTTTCAGTGTCAGCGTTGGTACTGTCGAATTCACAAATTATGAATTATTGAAAATTAGAAACAACTAAATAGCGGCGTATGTTATGCCGCGGGCCGGCTCGTTACTGAATATTGTAGGAAACACTTTTCGCCCAATAGACTCACTGGGTCTAAATGATGGTGTGTTGGGTAAAGGAGGGGGGGGGGGCAAGTTTATAGGACACGGATGAGAACAATGACGCTGTGATGACGACATGATGAGCTCCGCTACCCAAAAAATGACAATAGATGTTGAATCATCGAGTGAGGCGCTTGCTCCAATTGCTCTATTACACGTCTTAAAGTAGCCCGCCACAGACGCGTGGGAATAATACACATTATAGACTGGCACATGGGTGGACTGGCATTTGTATCATTTTCTTAGTCGTCCAGTAATGAAATGTATACTAACAATGGTGTTTACTTACAGTGTACAGTACCATTTTTTATATACTTTGTATCCACACTACAGTAGTTTAATGATATTGTAAACTTCGTCAAGCTTTCTGATTCAAAAAATTGTGAAACAACCATTTCTTTTATTCAATCATTAAGATTGTTTTCTTTATAACTCCAGAAATATCGACTTTTGTCAATACCTTTTTAAAATCCTTGAAACATCGACTTTTTCTTTGAATCCCTGAGACATTGACTTTCCATTTTTTTGAGCTCAAATCGATTTTTTTCTTCATTAAAACGACTTTCCACGGTCGCCGATAGAAGATTTTTGTACAGAGATCTTAGTTGTTTTGATTACCAGTGAAATAAAAGGCAAAAGCCTAGTTGTTTTCAAAAGCTTCAAATACTCTAAGACACCCAAGGTACTGCCATGTTCTTGGACTTTGTCATGTGTTGAATAAACGTGAAATTTGATCTGCTATACGCGTGTTCGGGGTGTTGTTTTTTTTTTTAATTGAACACAATTTGTACACACACACACACACCCTACACAGGAACCGTGTGAAGATCTCGTCACACGACAAACTGAGACAACTCGGGGTCGGCCAGTTAATCTCCAGTACAAATCAGCACTTGTCCCACGGCTCGGCCTCTGATCCCGTCAATGGCTGGGCTGCTCGTGGCGAGCCTAGTCGGCAACTGTCGGCCATTCAACAAGTGAAGATCTTCACACGCCCGATCAATAACCTACATGGCAATATGCTTTGTTGCGGCACCACGGGCGAGTGCTTCTCCCCCACATCATTTCACTGGCGGTAATTAGTTTTCTCAACGACACACAAGTGGGGCTCAAAACTTGGATCACATTATTACGCCACATAACGGAACAAACTTGGCAGAGTTCGCACGAAATTAGACCTCAGATAACAATCAACGTTTGGCTTCAGCTTGTGAGAAACAGATTCATATCACACTATGTTTAGGGCCACACTTTGTTTGGGGCTGTAAAAATGTGGTGGGGTGGGGGGGGGGGGGGGGGGGGAAGATTGGTGTTACACTTTGGGACCTTAAAAAGATGTGGGGGGGGGGGGGGGAAATGGGAGACAAAATAGTGTGGTTTAACAATATTTAATGGGTTGACATATAACATAACCGCTCTAATTTCCAATACATTTAGAAGAGAAGAAAAACACTCACCCCCCCCCCCCCCCCAACGATAGAATAGCCAATAGCCAGTTGTAAATGGCGACAAGCCCAAGGACATTATTTAGAGGGCCTGGCCAAACACAAGGGAAGAAAGCATGCCCGCAGACAACGGCCAGTAACTCATCCACCGACACAGCCAACAAAGGCCGATTACCCATAAACCGATCCCGATTCGGCGGTGCAGACAACGTTGACCCAAGGATTTGAGCTGACTGGCTTTATTTGCTGACAAATACTGTTAGATTTCCCCCCTGGGCGACGCCCCTGTTTTGATCCAGCTAGAGATAGACACAGGGGAGTCAAGCGGCCGGGCGAGGAGACAACGATACAAGCGATAGACGGCCTCACAGCTGTCACTGGTTGGGTCTAGTTCCAGCCCATGTTATTCAACGGTCAGATGTGTCCACTCAATAGGTAACTCAACGGTCAGCTGTCCACTCAATAGGTAACTCTACAGTCAGGTGTGTCCACTCAATAGGTAACTCAACGGTCAGCTGTCCACTCAATAGGTAACTCAACAGTCAGGTGTGTCCACTCAATAGGTAACTCAACAGTCAGGTGTCGAATCAATAGGTAACTCAACAGTCAGATAATGCGTCCACTCAATAGCAGGTTTCCCTCTTAGCCGCGCAGTAGATTTGAACCGGCCGCACAGTCATTTTGTAAAATACACATATCCTTGTATAAGACTTTTAGAACACCGCGCACACAAAATACAAGTTGCACACTAGACTTTTCCCCTTAGAGGGAATGTTGCTCAATAGGTAACTCACAGTCAGGTGTCGACTCAATAGGTAACTACAGTGGGGGTAAATAAAAAGGCCCAAATCTCTCGCTAAAAGCGCGGCCTCCCCTCATAAATTCTACCAGCAGTGTGACATAAAATTATGCTGCACACAAAGCAATAAATTAACATATGGTTTACACAGAGATTATGGTGCTGTTAGATCAAAGGATAGAATGGAAGCTCAGAAAACGTGATCATTTATTTCTAAGCAAGGGATTCTAGCTTAGTACGGTAGTCAACAAAATCAAGTCTATAGGACATAGACTGTAGGACTTATCTGTGGTCCTTAGGAGGGTCACCATAAATCACATCACACACAGGGGGAGGGGGGGGGGGGTCGGACATTTGTGATGATGTGTGATGGAGAGAGGGTTGAGACAATGTGATTACCCTAATCCTAAACACCAAGTGTCTGCAACATGTTTCACCCAGCCACCTAAAGAGGTAAATGACAGTAGGGGATATAAACACACACAATCCCTCTATAGACAGAGTGGGTGGGCACATGAATGCTACCAGGAATCCATGAGTCTACCCAGCATGGAATGAGTACCTGGCATGATTCTTGGGGTGGATGTTAAATTTAAGAACAAAATGTTAATGTTACAATAAACACAAACTAATCTACATATTAACTAGAAGCAAAATTTTAAAATATATATGACAGCGGGTACTTAAATTGTGATATCAATATTAATCTATAATAAACCTGCACCTCTGATCTTTACACATTCCATGCCCAACACAGATGAATCAGAGTTCATCTGTTTTAATTACCTAAGCAAACAAGGGGATAGTGTGGTCTGCACTATGCCCAACCACCTTTATTTTGTTTACCTAACCCGAGCCAGGTACTCATAAGAGCTGGGTGGACTCAGGGACATCAGAAATATTCAAACCTTGGATCTAGCTCAGTACTTTTGGGTTAGAAGTCACATCAGTCATAAGCTCTACCATTTGACCATGTCGTCCTGTGTACCTCTGTGAGAGGTGAGTGAAAACTATATAAATCTAGGATCATGACCTTGATGTACGTCTTATTTTAATGATGTATGTCTTATTTTAATGATGCATGTCTTATTTTAATGATGCATGTCTTATTTTAATGATGCATGTCTTATTTTAATGATGCATGTCTTATTTTAATGATGCATGTCTTATTTTAATGATGCATGTCTTATTTTAATGATGCATGTCTTATTTTAATGATGCATGTCTTATTTTAATGATGCATGTCTTATTTTATTGATGCATGTCTTATTTTAATGATGTATGTCTTATTTTAATGATGTATGTCTAATTTTAATGATGTATGTCTTATTTTAATGATGTATGTCTTATTTTAATGATGTATGTCTTATTTTAATGATGTATGTCTTATTTTAATGATGTATGTCTTATTTTAATGATGTATGTCTTATTTTAATGATGTATGTCTTATTTTAATGATGTATGTCTTATTTTAATGATGTATGTCTTATTTTAATGATGTATGTCTTATTTTAATGATGTATGTCTTATTTTAATGATGTCTTATTTTAATGATGTATGTCTTATTTTAATGATGTATGTCTTATTTTAATGATGTATGTCTTATTTTAATGATGTATGTCTTATTTTAATGATGTATGTCTTATTTTAATGATGTATGTCTTATTTTAATGATGTATGTCTTATTTTAATGATGTATGTCTTATTTTAATGATGTATGTCTTATTTTAATGATGTATGTCTTATTTTAATGATGTATGTCTTATTTTAATAATGTATATCTTATTTTAACGTTGCATACAACTAGAGCAGATATTAAAACGGATAACCCCCATTTTTAAATTCAGCTATGATCCCAGCATATTTATAAACAAACTATCAAAATATGTGTATATGTATTGCTTAGCCAAGGATACCAAGATATTTGTGAGAGTGACCAATGGAAATGTTGGTGTAACATACTGACCACAAGACAATAGTTTCAGCTGTTCCTTAAAAGTACTAAACTTACAATAGATAAGCACACTTTTTCAAGATTAGAAACATGTCTTCTTTTCTTTTTATTTAACCTCTTATTTTACTGTATTACGTTCTAAAATTTCCATTAAAGATGGATAAGATTCATAAAATTACTATATCAACATGATACATATATACAACGTATTATATATATACAAAATTCTGACATAAAATAAAAGTGGAGAATCACAACAAAAGGCAGGGAATGGAAACAGTAGGTTTTGTAACCCAGGTAGTGTGTTGGTGCCCATATAATCAGGTGGCAACCTTTGTTACATAATTTAGGCCCATAAAAAATGTTAAATTCTATACTTACGATGTCATAAATATAATCCTAAAACTCGGGTATGAAACTATCATGTATCTGAAACAGAAGAAATTTTAACCGGTTAGCTTTAGTTTGATAAAATCCTAATGTGTTGCAAGAATAATGATACTGAAGGACTGGTGTAAAGGAGGTCTTCAAATCCACCCAGGTCAGACATGGTGACTTAAATTCTGTGGACACACCTGAATCCGCCCTTCTCCAATACATAGCGAACATAGAATTTTTCAGACTTACACAGTAAAATATTTGCTAAATGAAATTTTAATGAGATTTATTGTTTTGAAAAATCGATTAGTTATGATACTTTTTTTACTGTTGTTAAAAGATGCTGGGCAGTTAGCCAGTCTACTGTTGTAGATTATTTATTTGCCCTATCTGACCAACAGGAGATGGCCAACTGTGGTCATCGAACTTAACACATGCGTTTGCCTTGTATATCTAGCATATCTTAAGATCTTTTCTATCTCTAATGGGGAGGGAGTGAGTTGTTTTCTGTATATCTAAAGCACAACAACCCAGAATGATTATGCACACATTAACTTTACCATCCACCTATCAAATGCTGATGACTCAATTATTGTTTGATTGAAGATTTTAAATGGCTCTGCTAAAGAAAAAGTTTGCTAACCTCTGGGTTACAATATTATAACTAGCCCAAGATAAGATTGAAGGTAATGAACCAGATGAAATGAAAATGTGGCTACTGGCCAATCTCTCCAGTATCAACATGATCACTGTGTTCTGTAACAAGGGTTTCTTTAGGGCCATCTCTCAGGGAGGGACCCTCCCCCATGAGCATGCCCAACCACCCCATCCCACCCCCAAAAAAATATGTATTTTGAAAATATATTTTGCACCATTGTTTCATCTTCCAAAAAGGTGTGTTAAGCTGCTAGTAGTTTTAAGTAAAATCTCTTGTTTAATGTTAGGGTATGTGTTATACCAGTGTCCAACAATACTGTGACTGTCTTAAAATAGAGATGTCAATTAAATACTAATAGGAATTGCTAATGTCAGTGCTAATCTAGAATTTAGATATGCCTAACCTAATTGTAAAATAGTATTTAATGCCTAGTTAAATTAAATAATTAACAATATACTGGCAACCACAACATAAACATTAGGCCTAATTATGCATCAGTTTAGTCAGTAGATCGCATTGCTCATCAACTGTCATTTACCATTTAAAATTCACATAGAATAAATATCATGTGAAAAAACATGTCCTATTTAATCAGTCATTGTTTACAATTTCCTTCACACTTTTCCGAAGTTTTTTCTCTTAGCAAAAATCTAAGGGACGGGGGTTTTTTCTGCAAATATGCCAGCAATCACGGCATAAATGAAAAAAAAAATTGACAAAAGTAGGTCCTAACCCTTTCATGAATAACGGCAAAAAATAAAATAGGAGTTCTAATAATAAGGGATGTAAGCCTTTGATGGGTTAGAACCTGCACCATCCTACATGACAGCCACCCACCTGACCACTCAGGTTCATGCTGTGTACCGTTTAACATTAAATCTATCAAAAACAGTCACGACTGTGAATAGCCCTAATTATTAAATTAACGAAGTGACTACTCGGAAGAAGATTTTTCTCCCCAACCACTTAGTCGGCAAAAGATAGCTCTGCGCATGCGCAGTAACCTACGGCTAGGGTCAGGGATAGGATTAGGGCTAGGGTTGGTACTGTTAGGGTTCTGCGGTTGTAAACACACGCATGCGCAGTACCATCGATAACATCGCCGCGATGACAAGTCGTAGTTTCTCTCCATTGCGCATGCATATCTTTTTCCGACTAGCATCAGCCTTAAATTAAATAATAGGCCTACGGCTATTCCCAGACACTTCGGATTTTTCTATTTAGTAATTCTATTAGCTAACTAGGCCATTGTAAGAGATTTAGATAATCTATTATCTAGATCTATTCACCTCAGAGCTGAAAAATGACAGATTTGTGAGTTTATTGATCTGAGTTTTAAAAAACAAAACCTTTCATGATGCTCCCTGTTTCAATTCCATGTCTATTTTAGTATTTTTTAAGTTACATGTTTGTGTTAGGGTAAAACTCCATTTCAGCGTATTTTATTCTCCGTTGCTTGTTTACCTCCAGTTGAGCGTATTTTATTATAACAACCGAAACACACCAAAACATTAGGAAAACACGATTTATTTTTTGTATTGTATTTTTGTTTTAGCAAATGAATAAAAATGAATATTTAAAAAAACACGACTTGTTTAGTTGTATTGTATTTTTTTTTAAAAAAAGGCATTTGTCTCATGGTGAAACTGATACGCTGTTAATCATTCTGTTTTGTATTTATTATTTATGCAATAAATGTACAAACTCTGTGTTTTTTAATTTGACAGTTTTGCTAAAACTGAAAAAATTATTTCACTATAGAGTTGTATGTTATTTAAATTCATAGTAAATCTACCATCCTTCCCTTTTTTGTATGAGTAAATTTCTGACTTTCAAAAAAAATTGATGTGGGGTCGTCCATAAATGACGTCACACTCGTAAGGGAGAGGGGGGTCAGCAATTTTATGACGGTGTGTGATGAGGGGGAGGGGGGTGGGGTTTCAGATGGTGTGACGTCCCTTTTTTGCATTATAAAAAAGCAATGTTAGAAAAACAAGTTTTAGCCGTTATTTCACGTTTTAGAAAACGGTTTTAATAAATTGTAATATGAATTGATCAAAATACTCTATGTTGACAGAGTTCTGACAAGATTTTGGAAAAATTATCGATGTTTTAAGAAAAATTCAACAGAAATTTTGAGGGGGGGGGGGGGGGGGTTGTAGGCTGAAGTGTGACGTCATTTTAGGGGGGGGGGGGTCTGACTTTTTGTGACGACGTGTAACGGAGGGGAGGCGGGAGGTAAAAATCGTAAAAAAAAGCGTGTCATCACAAAAAGCAAGACCCCCCCCCAAAATGACGTAGCACCATCTGAACCCCCCCCCCCTCATCACACACCGTCACAAAATCACCCCCCCTCCCCCTACGAGTGTGACGTCATTTATGGACGACCTCTAACATTTTTTTTTAAAATGACAACGTGAGTTGTCACACTTTCTCTAACACTCCAAGCCATCCCTCACCAAATTCCACCCCCCCCCCCCCCTCGGCCAACTTTCGGCAGCATCATTGTGCCTTTTAATACTTTTATTCAGTTTAGTTGAAATTGGAACACTTAATTGTACAAAGTGTGCATCTCTATTTTTGTAACCAACAAAGCACTTCAGTCAGTCTCTTTGTTGTTTTTTATTCATTTGTTAAAACAAAAATACAATACAAATAAATAAGTCGTGTTTTTTAAACATTCATTTTATTCATTTGTGAAAACAGAAATACAATACAAAAAATAAATCGTGTTTTTCTAATGTTTTGGTGTGTTTCGGTTATTATAATAAAATACGCTCAACTGGAGGTAAACAAGCAACGGAGAATAAATTACGCTAAAATGGAGGTTTACCTTGTGTTAGAGTGTTAGTCTGGATTAACTAGATTCTAGATTCCAAAGAATGTCTAGAATCTAGTTCTTATAATTAAGAGTATGAACCTCAATAAATAGATCTAGATCTAGTCTAGATCTAGATTCTAGTAAAAAAAAATGGCTTGCCTAATAATTTTCAAAATATTCTTTTTTTTTTTTTTTGTTTTTGTAATGTTAAGCCGTAAGAAATGAAAGCCTGACTGTCAGTGTCACTGTCGATGAAAATTTATTATTTTGAGGACGCCGCATATTTGAAAGATATTAAATGCTTCATTAATCTTATGCGTAACTGATAATTATTATTAGATCAAGGAAGGTTGTGAGGATTTTAAAAAGCAATCTCACGAGAAACTATAGTCTAGTTTACCTCAACAATGGCTCGATTCCTCTCACGGTATCCGTCCCTTCTCGTACACACAGTCAGCCATGTTTTGGACTCCCGAGCTGGTAGTAAAACCTCCCACCAAAGTTTACAATAAATCTTCTGTAACTTAAAAATGTTAATTTTTTATCAAACCAAACTAAATCAACGATAATTTATTTTAATTTAGGCAATGAGCAATTCTTTCTATGATACCTATTTTTCTAAGCGTTATGTATAAATCGATTTAAATGCAGTGGGAGTAAAAAGAAAGAGCCAGGTAATTACTTTTGGCCTACACTGCTGAGAACCAAGCAAAACCTGGCGGCGAAGTGTATCGAAATCTTGCCTTGACTATCGGAACGCGTCTCACAAAGAAGCGTCTTTTAGTCATTTGTTTCATTCTGTGTTGGTGAGAGGGAGGGGGGGGGGGGGTGGAGATAATGGGGAGAGAAGTGGCTTGGCGTAAATTATTGAATGTGTATTTTATGTGTCGTTTTCAAGCTGTGATACATTAATATTTTATTTTCTACAAATGACTTCTCATTAAAAAAAAACAAGGTCGTCTCTAGCCATGCACATCGGATACATGTTTCTGTTATAAGGTGTGTGTGCAGGGGAAGGGGGGGGGGGCGTACATATTTGCAGGTCTACTTGTTGAATAAATATGACATTTTTGCGCGCAGATAATGATGATATTACAAACAATAACAATATATCCGAGCCCAAATAAACCTGACCCAAATCCTGAGCATAATTTAAACTGGCTTTAGACTAATCCAGGGGCGTAGCGAGGGGGAGCGAGGGTGCGGACCGCAACGGGTGACACCATTTAGGGGGGTGACACCAAGGCAAAAAAATAGCAAAATATATAGAGAAAACTTAAGGGGGGTGCAAATGTGCAAATCAAAAGTTTGAGGGGGGGGGGGGTGCAAATCGAAAGTTTGAGGGGGGGGGGGGAGCAAATCAAAAACTTGAAAGTTTGTCCCCGGGAAGGGTTGCTACGCCTCTGGGGGGTGACACCAATAAGTGCCGCACCGGGTGACACCCGACCTCGCTACGCCACTGGACTAATCTACATGACTCTTGATGTGGCTAATCATAAACCAACAAACAAACACACACACACACACACACACATATATATATATATATATATATATATATATATATATATATATATATATATATATATATATATATATATATATATATATATATATATATATATATATATATATATATATATATATATAGTGTCTGTATATATATATATATATGTATATATATATATATATATATATATATATATATATATATATATATATATATATATATATATATATATATACATATATGTGTGTGTGTGTATGTATGTATGTATGTATAGATAGATAGATATCGGATTATGTCATTGTATATGACCAAGTTGAGCTCATTAACCAATGTTTAGATTTTATACATTTTTATAACAATACGCCTAGCAGTTTTTTGTGTGTGTTTTTTAAATTATTTTCTTAGTTCGAGTCGACTAGACATACTACCTTAATTGTACAGTCCAGCGGCTGGAAATAAAGTAAGTAAAAGTTGGTATTAAGAAAAGCAAAACAAAATATGATTCAGTTAAAATGGGTTAAAACCGAAACAGAAAAGATTGAAGATAGTCAGAAAAGGATACGTGAAATAAGTAGATAAAGAAACGTTGAGCAGGGGAAAGGCTCCATCAATAGCTCTAATAAAAAAATAAAGTGGGCAAAATAACTTCCTACTGAACTGTGTACTTTGAAGAAAGTAAGTAGACTACATCACAAAATAGAATGCAACATTATAATTAAAAAAAAGTAATTATCATTTATTGGAGAAGGCTGGAAATAGCCAGTTAATTCCCTTTGCGGTAGTCAGTTTACTCCCTTGGCAATCACTAACTTCAAAGCGGACTATATCAAGTTAGTAAACATCGCTAGTCACCCTGGGGCGCCGGCAGACGTACGACCCTCTCATCCCGACACAGCATCCCATCTCCTGCGTTTATCACCGGTAAACTTCAGCAGCACCGCGACCGTTAAGTTCCGCGTTGGTTGGTTAGGTTTTTTTGGGTCCTACTAAGTTAACTATGTAACAAAACCGAGTTAGGTTTTTTAAAAAATGTACGTTCGTGAGGATAGTTTTAACCTCAAGCTTTTAGTTAAGGATCAAGCTATCGCAAAATATTATTTTAAAATTAAATTGAGATCTGCAATATAAAAGTAAATATTTCTTTTATCAATAGAAGTCAGCAGCGTACATTTTAAGACAGCTGATTGAAAATGTAATCAATAACAATAGTTCAACCTCAGGTCTATAATCAACCTTAGCCCTGAACTTTAGGTTGAAAATATGGTCAACTGACTCACACACTGTACAGCTTTGTGGTTATAACTAGTCATTTTTAAAAAGTCACTCTACGTATCAATGAAGACACGCTTGGTAGGTAGGGACAGGGGGGGGGGGGGGGGACGGACATATGATGAAGATAGAGGAGGGGTGGTGTCTGCTTATTTTTTAGTGAAAGCAGAGGCGTAGCGAGGGGGTGGGGGGGGGGAACATGAGTCATCCACTAGGATTGTGAGATTATCTACTAGAATTGTACTGAGATTATCCACTAGGATTGTTAAATTATCCATTATGATTGTGAAACCAGACTTCACAAAAAACTCATTTCCTGGAGTAGCCTATTTATGAACATGCGTTCTATTCCTATTGAGTGTTTCTTTCAGAACTTTTTTCTTCACTTGAAACTTTTAGGGGAGGGAGGGGGTGCGCACTGGTTAAAGTAGGTGTATATATTTTGTATATAAATGTAATATTTCAGGGGAGGAGGCGAGAGGTGTCTGAAAGAAACTCCCCACATTTGACCAGAACGAATATACCCCACCCCCGTTCACGGATTACTTATTAGGATCCGGGATACAATTAAGAGCAACCCAAAACATGAAACTGGAATTAACCGGTTTGCGCGCCTAGCACATTGATTAGATCTATCAATAAGCAGAGATTGATTTTTATTCTTTTAACAGCGCGTCTTGGGGAGGAAATTGTAATAGATTGAAATAATTGTGAGGTCAAGGGAACTCACTCTTCTGTATTAGTTATATTTATAATATTGTTATCTTGAGTGATGTCCCTTGGGTACTTCCTTCCGTCCTCTCTGGTGTTACCATCATGAAGTAGTTAGACCCAATAAACGTGTTATATACAACCACAGGCTTCTGTCGTCAATCTATTATAACTGGCGACGAAGGATAAACATCTACTAGAAAGAGCACCTACTTACGCAAAAAAGAGGTTTGCTAGAGCTTATTAGCTAATTATTTCTAGAATTATGGCGCTGTATGGCCAAATAAAAGAATTTGATGCGAATGATGAAATCATTCAAGATTACCTAGAGAGGTTAAGCTTTTACCTAGAAGCTAACGACGTGACGATAGAAGCCAAAAAGAGAGCTGTTTTGTTAACAGTCATAGGGCCTCAACAATTCAGGCTACTAAAGGACTTATGCGCACCAGCTAGTCCAGATACCAAGAGCTTTAACGAGCTGAGCAAATTGCTAACAGACCACCATGCGCCTACCCCATCAAAGTTTCTATGTCGAGCTAGATTTGACAGTAGGACTCGTCAACCAAACGAGTCAATATCAGAATATGTTGCTGCTTTACGTCATTTAAGTGAATTTTGTGAATTCGGCGACACGCTGTCTGACAGACTATGTGAAAAGTTTGTGACAGGTGTAAACAGCCCTGATATTCAAAGAAAGTTGCTGCTCGAGTCAGATCTAACTTTGGAAAAAGCAATACAACTTGCAATGTCATTCCAGCAGTCATCAGATGCGGCGAAATCTCTTACGCCTTCAGGGATCCATGCAGTAAACAGCAGGTTAGTCAATAAACATCAACCCCATCAGAGCATTCCAACTTATGCTAAACAGCCTGCTCGTTCAAATCCTAGATCTAAATCTAGTAATAATTATCAAAAATGTCATCGATGCAAAGGTCCCCATGCATCTCATCAGTGCAAGTTCAAGTCTGCAACTTGTTATAAGTGCAGTGAGCAAGGTCACATTGCCAAGGCCTGCTTTGCAAAGTCTTCGTCTGTTGCTAAATCTAGCCAGTCAAGACAGTACCGCAACCAAAGGCAGCACTATGTTAACTCTCACCAAGACTACCTACTCCAACCAATGAACCACTCTACCTGTGAAAATGCTCAAACTGATTCGCAGCCGGATTTCAACCTGTTCTCTGTTAAATCAATAAGTCATGCTCCCATCAATGTACAAGTTAATATCAACGGTAAGAGCATAAGCTTCCAACTTGACACTGGAGCATCTCTAACAGTCATAACAAAGAAAGATTTTGACGCTGTCACAGGAGGATCAGTGCCTCTACAGCCATGTCACAAGTGTCTAACAACATACACTGGTGACAATGTTCCGGTAATAGGAGAGTGTATGGTTCATGTAAATTATAATGGTCAAAGTGTTAAACTTCCTCTTCTTGTGGTTGAAGGAAATGGACCGCCATTACTAGGTAGGAACTGGTTAAGTGATCTTAAGTTAAATTGGGAGAGTATTTGTTCATTGAAGAATGTAAAAGAATCTAGTCTTACTTCACTAGATAAAGTTATATCTGAAAATAAATGTGTTTTTGGTAATTCAGGTTTACTAAATGATAGAACAGTGAAGTTAAGCATTAAAGATACAAATCCAAGATACTGCAAAGCTAGAGTTCCACCTTATGCAATGAGGAATAAAATTGAAAATGAGCTAAGTAGATTGGAATCTAATGGCATTATAAAGAAGGTAGACTATTCCGATTGGGCGACACCCATTGTGCCAGTGTTAAAGAAGGATGGTTCTATAAGAATTTGTGGAGATTATAAAACTACACTGAATAAGCAAATAGAGCTAAATAGGTACCCTATACCTAACATTGAGGAAATTTCTTTGAATTTGGCAGGAGGAGACAAATTCACTGAATTAGACTTTAGTCATGCTTACACTCAACTAGAACTGCATCCAGATTCAAAAGTCTATACGACAATAAACACA